GCTCTGGCGAGTGGCTTCTGTAAGTGTTGTGATGGTGTATGCGTAGAAATACCGGGCGCGCGTCGCAGAGTTGGCTCAACGGGACCGCTCGGTCTTCGTAGTGGAGTGAAGTCGGAACTCGGCATGTCCACAGCACTTTTCTTTCCGTGCCGGATGACTTCAAGCATTGCGTCGCCTTTTGGGGCTGTAGTCAAGTTCTCGTATCCAGATGAGGTGATGAGAATGTCGTCTTCTATGCGAACACCGCCCACGGGCATGTAGCGCTTCAGTACCTCAGTATTGATGTACTTGGAGTGAACGGGTGATGGGAGATAGAAATGCTGTAGAGCGTATGCGGAAAAGTAGATGCCAGGCTCGACAGTGACAACCATGCCTTCTTCAAGATGGCTGCTCTGGGGATCGCTGGGCGCGAGGCAAGTCTCAGAGTCATATACTGGGACATGGAAATCCTGTGGGTAAAGAGATGGTGCCTGTCAGATTGTTAGCGACTGATCAATGTTGGGATTGATTGAACTTACCTGCTGGTACACTGGCTTCCCTCTTCTTACACTCATGAGTTGTGCCTGACCCACGTCATGCACTTCAAGGCCTATGTGATGTCCAAGACCATGGGGAAAGAATGCTCTACTTGTACCTGCCTTGTAGATTTCTTCTTTCGTTCCGTGGTGAAGAATTCCGAGTTGCAGTAACCCATCGATTGCGATCTGATGCGCCATGATGTGCAAATCGAGATATCTTACGCCGGGCTCTAGCCTTTTGATACATGTTTCCTGCATACGCTGGACCAGCTTGTAGATGTTCTCGGCTTCTTTGCTTGGCCAAGAAGTAGATAGCGGGAAAGTGCGGGTAATGTCACTTGCATAGAGCTCATACTCGCATCCTGCATCTAAACACATGAGTTGACGACCCGCGAGGTCTTCATCGTTCGCGGCATAGTGAAGAGTTCCGGCGTTCGGTCCGGAAGCAGCGATGGGATCGTAGGCCTGTTGCTTCGCTTGCTGCGATATGCACACATCCATGAACAATCCCTCGACCTGTGCCTCGTTCTTGAAGTTCGTGATGTTAGCAAGGATTTCTCGGTGCGCTTGCGAGCTGATGTCGTTCGCTTTCCGAATAAGCTTGATCTCGTGATCATCCTTGATCATGCGACAAACGTTCATGGCTGACCGAAGGGCTATCGAATCAATACCGGGCTTCAGATTGTCGCAGCCGGGGAATTGCGACGACTGGTGCAGGACGTAGATGCCAGCCTGCCGATTACCGATCGCCCATCCCTGCACGGCGTACTCAAGCTCATCTGCGTAGAAAACTTGATCGACATCGTACTTCACGAGTGCCTCTGCTAGAGTGGAGCCACGACCGTACCAGATAACGCGCTCAGGCTTGATGCGGGGAATGAACAGGGACAATTCGTCGCGTCGCGTGTCGTACGTCAGATGGCAGTCAGGTTCATTGCATCTTCATACCATCAGCACGGTCCTCATTTACTCCCAGATCAACGCACCCGCTCAAGTAATAGAAATATCGGCGTTGTCGGAAGGGTGCTGGCATGTCGCTATCTTCGTTGTTCCTCGCTGGTTGACCCGGTAGGTAGATCAGGCCTTCTTCAACACCCAACTTCTCTTGCACCCTCCGCGCATGTTGTTTTGCTGCGCGACGTTAGCTGATTGCGCGACCCACGCTCATATTCCCAGACTTACCGGGATACTTCTCAAACGGAGTCTCAGCCTCGAGGTGCAGCCAGTACTCATTGTCTTCCCATCTCAGGCGCTCAGAGAGACCTTTCGCATCGAGAACTTCCATCGTGTTACCTCGTAATGCCTCAGGGAAGAACTGCGATTGCGAAAGGCTTGAGCTCCGATTGAGATGTGACCGGCGTTTTAGTGTTGTCGAGGATCTCACCGGTAAAGCCACCGCATAGTGCACGTGCCAGCTCGACCGCTCCGGTCAGTAAACCGGGAGCTACGATCGTGAATGTTGTCAACACATTCGGCCCCTTACATCTATAAATTGACTGGTGCCGTCGACGATAGTCTCTTTGAGTAGACTGGCATCACGACTGCAGTGCGCCTCCAAACGTGTAGGCCCGACGAAGATGCCCATGTTGCCTTACGACCCCGCGCCTGCGCCTGCTTCCGCTGCCCATCGACTGTGCGACACGAGGCGAGGTCGTGTCAAGCGTCTACCCCAACTCATGTGGACATCTGCAGCATGCTCACTGCATTTGATAGGTGACACGATGAGACGTACACCGATTTCGGGTCAATGCAAGAAAGAGAAAGGAAATCGCAAGGTGTCTAATAACAGAAGGATGCTGATTGGTTGGAAATATCTTGACCGGTGAACCGGTCAACACATAGCTAAGAGGCACGTACCCAATATGTCAGACTGAGTAATGTCGCACTGACACCCGACCGGCTCTGGGATCTCGTTTGTTTTAGCTAGTATTTACATCGGATCTGTGCTCTCAGAAAAGATCGCCATTTTGGGGAGGGCGGGGAAGCTGACATCGCTCCATTGCCACCCAAGCAAAGGGCTTTGTGATATTCCTGGAGGATCTCACGTCTTCGTAGAAGCCTACGGGAAGTCCTATGGGCCTCGTAGAAAACAACATGCTGTCGTACTGCCCTTGACGTTGTCTTTCCTCTCATCATTTTGTTCATACATGTCATCAGGTCATTTGCCATTCACTCTTTTCATAACCTTCAAAGTCTTCACATGAGTTTACTTGGTCAAACTCCCCTGTGCAACGGTAGGTTTTCATTCGTACTAGTTAGACTACAAAGCAATGGGTATCGCGAAAGACTATCACCAGAACACCCTTCTTTCATAGCCTCCTAGGAGGATCTTAAAGCCGTGTAAGCCAAGTAACACCATCCTTTAGTCTCTCGAGGAGGTTGTCGATGTCAACCCCAAACCCAAACCTATCACCACAGTCCACCCTGTAGGCATTCAGCACTGGGTCGCTTCACTAAGCTCCTGTCAATAGCCGCTGAATACCCCGACAGCCGTGTTCAGCGGCGCTGAGCTCGATTCTCGGCAGCCTTGTTGGAGAAGAGAGTAGGGCGAATGGCGGCGAAACGCGCGCCTTGAGAACGGTGCCAGTAGGGACATGAAGTCTTGCGACAAGGCTTGTGCCTCTTCTCACGATGACACTGATCGCCGTATATCGGACGCTTGACCTCGGGCTCGCTGGGCTCGCTGATCTTGGGCGCCTTGACGAAGCCACTGAAGGGGTTGCTATCCTGAGCCATGTTGATGTGGTAGTGGGTAGAGTTCGACTCGATCTTGAGGAAGTTGTTGTTACCGACGCTGTTGGTGTTGGCACTGCCGGTAGAGCGAATCACTCCCATGTAGAGATCCCGGTAGTGGTCGCGCTCTTCGCGGAGCTTGGTGTTCTCGACAAGGCCAACCTCGATCGCGCCCTTGTATTGATCGCGCTGACGGGTGACGCCATCGAGGCGGAGGGCGAGCTGGGTGTCGGAGGTGTTGGAGAAGATTGGAGCGACATCGCCGTCATCGTCGTCATCGCTGTCATTGTTGTCACTGTCACTGTCGTCGTTGTCATCATCGTCGTTGCCGTTGTTGTTGTAGTCGTTGTCGTCGTTGTAGTTGTTGTAGTTGTAGTTGTTGTCGTCATCATCGGTGACCTCTCCCATCTTCTGCTTCTTCCGCAGGCGCTTTTCGAGGACGATGATATGTTCTTGTAGACCGACGATGATCTGGGCCTCGGTCTTCTTGGGCGGCTCGTTCTTGATCCTCACAGGCGCCATCTTTGAGGTGATCACTTGGAAACGACTGGATGTGGGAATCGAATTGGTTGCCTTGCTGAGGGCGGTGCCTGTCTTTATGGTAGGAGTGATTGCCAAGCATCGTGAAAGCTAGGCAAAGGGCTGTTTTCGGGTGGCAGGCAGGTCTCGACTGTTTTGCCTCCAAGAACTGCGTAATCGGGAGGTCAACTACGGAGTGAAGGACGAGTTGCCCAAGAGTGCTTGCGTACTATTGGTCCATTCTGATAATCAAACAGTCTCCACGAGCGCGTGACTTGGGTCTAACCTATCTAGGTACAAAGTGAGAGTGAGAACCGGCTGCCTACCTAGGTAGCCGCAACCGCAAGTCCCACAAAGGTGACTGACGCCTAGCGCCGTAGGATCTTGGCGCAGCCCTCTGGGTATATAAACTGCTGCTCCCCGCCCACTTTGACTTCTTCTTTTCTCTTCAGTTGCTTCGCAGATTACTACTGCCATGAGAAGGTCTCATGTTCAACTCGCATGTCAGCTAAGCTGGTGCAACCGCCAAGTGGCTGTCAGCTAAGCTGGGTTACTGGAGGTCATACTGTCGCGCCCGATTTACGTACGGGGTCCCACGCGGCAGGGTACGACGACACTCACTAGATGGGTTGGTTGTCAGCAACTTCAAGATCCGCCTTGAGCGCCTTGTCGTCCCAGCCAGACCGGTCTCCGGTCTGGTATACTGATGATGTCCGCTAAGCGGGTCAACAGGGAAAGATGAGAGGCCACCACAAAGATGAAAGGTGGAATCGCATTCAGTCTGGTCACAGACAGTCTATCTGACACAGTGCTTGTCGCTTGCAGATACTGACCTCCGAGGGCTTTGGGATTTGGAGAGAGGACGAGGTGATTCTCGTTCTTCCAGGCATTCAACACGCACTGTTCGCAGTGCTGTTTGTGTACCGTGCGCATCAGTGATGCGTGTCTGTCAACGGTATCTTGTCATCTTTTTCATTGAGCTCTGGGCCTTGCGCCTAGACTTGAGGAAGGAGAGTTGTTTGATCAAATGAGCGACATATGTAGTATCCATGGATGTGAAACTAGTTGTACACCACGAAGTCTGGACAAAGAAGTCATTGCGACAGTGTTGAGGACGCGTCATTCAAAATGTACATGAAAGGCGACTTCATGCAACCATTGCTTAATAAAGGAAAGGCTAGAATTAGGGAGTATAGATCGTAACATCATGAGAGCACCTAGAGACTTGTCTCACTCATCGCTATCATCCTCATCATCATCTTCGTCATCGTCCATCTCTTCGTCTTCGTCTTCGCTATCGTCTTCGCTTGCGTCAAGACCCACGGGTACCGTCGCCGGCCAATCCACGTTCACCTCTTCCTGTAATTCCTCCCAAAACTTGTCCATGTCTGCTCCAGCGTACTCCTTCACCTTCTTCACTGGGACTGGGGTGTTCGAATTGTTGTTTGCATCATCGCTCTTGAAAGTCACATACATGTGATCTTGCTGCAACATGCCGACTTTAAGATGAGTAAGAGCAAGCCGCGGCGTTTTGGACAGCTTGCGGAAGAAGTCGCGCCAGAAGTTGGGCTTGTGTCCGTGAGGTGGAGCGACTACAGCGGGGATGTTCATCCTCCATAGGCTCAGATCTTCCAGAGTCGGCGCGAACTTGGAGATAAAGTCGAACAGAATATCAGCCCGAGCGCTTAGCTGACCAAGCTCGAGGTTCTTTAAGAGCGGTAGAGCAACTGGGGCTGGGTCAAGAAAGGTCGCTGTATTTGAGCTGGTAGTGGGTTTCGGAGTAGCCAACCACTGCAGAAAGTCCTCGTTATTGGCCACCAGATGTTTCTCAAAGTTCAGGCGAAGATGAACGAGGTTGGGAGTGAAATGGAGGAAGCGCCGAAGCGAGCGTCCCGCGTTTGGATCCACTGACGTTCCGTTGCTGTGGGTGTGCAGGTAACGAGGCTTGAGGTCCACGTTCAAGAGTAACGTGCTTGTGTTCTGCAGTATGGGCTCCACTGTAGGTCGGATGTAGTCTGGAAGAAAGAATGCCGTGTCGGGCAGGCCGCGCTGACGAAGCAGCACCTCAAACTCAGTAGGTCGTCGGTTGGCCTTGCCCAAAGCGTACAGCACGCTGGAGAAGACGCGAGACGTGAAACGAGTGCCGACATCCTGTCCGAAGGAATCGCGATCGGCGAACCGTAGCTCAATACCGGTCTCACGATGGACGGTGGTTGCGCCCCAGGAGCTCCAGCTCTTGCCGTCACGAACTCGATTGCCTGCGTTGAAGTCGCGGATCCCGACGGTGGTGAGGTTCTCGAGACGCTCGAAAGCTTCCGTAAGCATCTCGCGGTCGATCCCAGTACCCAAAAGCGCTTTCTGGTCCTCGTAGCCCTGAATGTAGCGTGTAGCGGCATCGTCGTCCCTGAAGCGTAGTGGTATCTCGCTGTAGACGTTGGTGGCAATGATGATGTGTACCAGCTTCTTGGAAAGACTGGCATGCTTGGATATGTCGGTGAGCGCTTGCAGGCTCTTGTGCGTGAGCATGAACTGCTTCTTGAAGAAGAACTCTTTGGAAAACCATTCATATAGCGACTTCTCGGTTTGTTTGCATACAAGACGCAGTGAACCAAGATCTTCAGTAGGAAGGTATTCTGATACCGCGACCAGCAATTCCAGCGGTATGGTGAGTAGTGATGCCATCTTGACAGGAAGCGACGTTGATGAGTGAAGTTTGCTGTCGTGATGATGCGGGTGCTTGTGGCACGACTTATCATGTGTGCACGCGTGCCGTTCGCGAAGGCAGAAATGGGGGCTAGTCCGCTTTGGGCGCTGATGCCTAAGGGCGTTCCTTCCGAACACAGGCCATCGTCTCATCGGCCACCTGGTTCCGTCTCAACCAAATGTTCAAATAGCCATTCTGCGCCCCCAATCCAGCTGCATCGCGTCTTCCAAGGTTCATCAAAGTCAATCGCATCAATCGCAGCAATGGTCCTTACTGGATTGTCCATCGCGGCATCTGGCCGCTTCGCGAGTGGAGTAACTCAGTCGACGCTACAGACGCGTATAACGTCACTCGGCGCCGAGTTCCTGTCGAGCGTCACACCGGACACAACCCATCTCATCGCAACACAGAAAGACTTCGAGAGCAATTCCACGAAAGTCAAGACTGCTGTTGCTCAGAACGTGTCGATCGTTAGCCTCGAATGGCTCGACGAGTGCGAGGCGACAGGTAAGTCCACCACAATCCGACGCACTCAGAACCGCAACATGCTTCTCAAATCTTAACGAAGAACTTCAAATTGACGGTTGGAGTAGATTCATATGTTCCTGAGTCGCAATATGTGTTGTCTTCTGCGGCGGCGCCAGCTCCTGCCTCTGCTCCTGCCCCTGTCCAAAACGGGTCAAAGAAGCGCGCGGCGTCATCTGCATCACCACCAACTGCACAACAGGAGACCAAGAAGCCCAAGATCAAAGAGAATGCCAAAGTTGGAGATGGACAAAATGCCAAGTCCAAGCAGATTGCCATCTCCGTAGACGAGCATTGCCCTCTGTCTAGCTGGCGCGTTTACATCGACAACAACGACGGCACGATCTACGACGCGTCACTCAACCAAACGAATTCGTCTGCAAACAACAGTGAGTAACGGCAGTCAATCCCAGATTTTGGACGTGTATGCTGACTACCTTAGACAAGTTCTACAAAGTCCAGCTTCTCACCGATGGCTCCAGCTACCGAACGTGGACACGCTGGGGGCGAGTCGGCGACCGTGGCCAGATGAAGATGCTTGGCGATGGAGGCCTCAGTAATGCCATGCAGGAGTTTGAGAAGAAGTTCAAGGACAAGTCTGGCCTCAAGTGGGCGAACCGCGGTGACGAGCCGAAGGCTGGCAAATACGCCTACGTAGAGCGCTCCTACAACCCTGACTCGGACGACGATGACGACGGCGATGCCGATGCTGGTGCTGATGCCAACGAGACCAATGGCGTAGCGCCCGACAGCACCTTGTCTCCCCCGGTCCAGGATCTTATGAAGCTCATCTTCAACCAGGTAAGAATCCAGTGCTTTTGGAGTACCCGGGTGGCTACAACCCGCGTCGCATTTTGAAAAAAAAAACGAAAGATCATGGAGCCTGGAGACTACATAGCCTCAGGACGTGTCTATCCGTTACTTTTTAGCGATGCGTATGCGGCAACACGGATTTCAGGCTAACATTTTCAACTAGGATTACTTCAATCAAACCATGACTGCCCTGAACTACGACGCAAACAAGCTCCCACTGGGTAAGCTTAGTAAAGGTACCATCGCTCGTGGTTTCCAGACTTTGAAGGACCTGTCCGTGCTTATCGACGAGAACGACAACGATTCAAGGGCAGAGGTTGAACGTCTGTCGAACCAGTACTTCTCTCTCATCCCACACGCCTTCGGTCGCAATCGCCCGCCGGTCATTCGAGACATCACACTCCTTAAGAAGGAGATTGAGCTACTTGAGAGGTAAGTCTTCTTGACTGTACGAATGCATGTGAGGCATATACTGACTTCGTACTCCACTATAGTCTGTCGGACATGAAGGAGACTGCTGCCATGCTCAAGGACCAATTGAAGGACAAGAGCGATGTGAACAAGCTCGACAAACAATTCCAGGGACTTGGCATGAACGAGATGACCCCTCTTCAACACAAGAGTCGCGAATTCGTGGAGATCGACGAGTATCTCAACAACTCGAAGGGCAAGACACATCATGTCAGCTACAAAGTTCAAGAGATTTTCCGCATCGAGCGTCAAGGAGAATTCGACCGTTTCGACAAGAGCAAGTATGCGAAGATCGCAAGCAACCGCCGCTTGCTTTGGCACGGATCCCGAGTTACCAACTATGGTGGTATTTTGGGACAAGGTCTCAGGATTGCTCCACCGGAAGCCCCTGTCAGCGGATACATGTTTGGCAAAGGTATCTATCTCGCCGATATGTCTTCAAAATCGGCCAACTACTGCGCTTCGTACAATTCTGGAGGCACTGCCCTGCTTCTTCTCTGTGAAGCTGAGCTCGGCAACCCAATGCACGAGCTTACCGACGCGTCGTACACTGCTGGGGAGGACGCCGCCAAGAAGGGCCTACACAGCACATTCGGTATGGGACAGACTGGCCCGAGAAAGTGGAAGGACGCGGGTTGCGTGAACCCAGCCCTAAAGGGCTGCATGATGGTAAGCAAGCTCGCATTCCCATATTCAGTTTCACAGCTAACCATACTAGCCCGATGTATCGACACCGCCTGGAGCTACCAACGTACCCAACGCGTACTTGCAGTACAACGAGTACATCGCCTACGACGTTGCTCAGGTCAAGCTTCGTTACTTGCTCCGTGTTCAGATGTAGATTCCCAGCGCTATCATCTCTCGAATCGGCGTTGAGGCGTTCCAAGCGGGGTTCACAAGGAAAATTTCAAGGCAGGCGTCTACATGGTCTTAGGGATTAGGTTGTTGTCAAGATCAAATTCTATGTATGCAGCAAAGCCCGCGTCATGGGCTTTGCGCAGGCGTTCACTGTTCTCGCATTCTTGTCTTTCCTTATGCACAGCGTCATTTCGTGATGAGCCCAGTCTGTCAAAAGCATGGTATATTCGTCGTTAATCAGATACAAGCATCGCGAAAGGTCCCTATACACATCCGTAATATGGTCAAACTCCAGGCCAGTACAGAAGCAAGCGAATCTACTCGCGTCCACCGACCCTCCTTTCGTAGTCGTCTTCCAGCCTAGAGGCATCCACCACCTCGACGCCCTTGCCCAGCCCGATCATATCATTGCGAACCTGCCACCACCTAACAGTGTGCTCGCTCTCCTTGCCCTTGCGCATGGGGCCCTCGTCGTCTGTGTCAACGAGCCCACCAAGGCCAGTGCCATCACCGCCAACAACGACAATGGTCTGGCCAACCCACTTCCTAATATCGTCAATGTTCTGACCGTTCACGCCGCTCAATGCATCGACTACGTAGACAAGCTCCGGTCCAAGATGCCTGAGCATGTGCACGAAGCCAGTGGTGGTGTTGAAAGGCATGACCATGGCCGGGTCTTCGACGAGGCGGAGGGCCTGGGAGTGCAGTGTGTTCCAGAGCGAGTTGTCAGAGCCCCTGGTGCTGGGTGCGGGTGTGTAGATGACCGGTTCAACGGACGACAGCTCCTCGCCTGGTGTGCGTGCAGGTGTGCTGATGGCAGAGTATGAGTCGCCGAGCGAAGACGAGCCAGTGCGAGAGTTGGCGCGGGACTGTGGGCGCGAGCGCAGCGACGGGGAGTAGATGAGGACGAAGAGCTTGGTTCGCGAGAAGTCGGTGTCGGGGAGGTGGGAGAGGATGGTCTGCGAGCTGTTAGTTTCTGGCACGTGAGAAGGGAATCGAGATGGAAGGCTTACAGCGTTTTCTTCGCGGTATGAGCCCTCGTCGTCATCCAACCGGTCCAGGCTTTCTGCGCTGACGACCAAGACTACGGTCTTCCTCCTTCCTCCGTAGCCCTGGCCTCTGCCTTCAGCCTTCCGTACGCTCTCCGCGAAGCTTCGTGCCTGCACATCAACCGCAGCATTGCTGTCCCGGCTCTGCGCCTCAACATTCCTCCTTATGGTGGCCTCCTCATTCCATCGAGAGTGGTCGCCGAAAGCTTCGTCCTTGTCTTCCTCGCGGATAGAAGCGAGCGCGGCACCAGCTGCAGCACCCGCCGCGGCCCAGCCCGCAGCTGTCTTCTTGCTCACGGTATCGAAGAGCTGCTGTGGCGATGGTGTGCGCCTGATGACGCCTTGTGCGCGGCCGAGCAGCGTGCCATCGCCGTAGCCATAGCCCTCACCGCCCCCTTCGCCTACGGGGAACCCAGAGACATCGCGTGCTGCAGGCGCCCTGCCCTGTCGCTTTTCGTGGGCCGAATCTTCGCCATAGGAGAGATCGTCATCGGACGAGTAGTCGCGGCTGTCCTCGCGCGCACTCCAGACCCAGGCTGCGAGACCGGCGGTTGCGACGGTGACGGTGAGGATCAGAGGAACGTAGAAGCCGAGGGCGCCGCGGTTGCGCGAGTTGTTCTGGCGGCGGTCGTAGCGGTCGTAGTTGAAGGACGACATAGCTCAGGTCATGGTATCGTGAAATGTTTCGTGGGCGGGTCGGGCGTTGTTTTGGTCGTCAGCCGCTGCCGCTCGGCTGCTTCCCTGTTGTTGACGGCCGGCACGCCAGGGCGAGTGGCTGGGAGCTGAAGCTTGCTTGCTTACTTGACACATGCCTGCACGCCGCAGCGAGTGCGCGCGAGTCAGCCCTCGAACTTTTGGTGGCCGCGGGGTGACTCTTACACCCCACACCTCTTTGTACCTGCAGCATCAGTCAGCGGATAAACGCCAATACCATCTCTCACAATCAGGCCGTAAATAGCGCCTTCATATCCAGAAAGTATCGAGATAGGCCAGTGCTACGACTCTACACTCATATCGCGACACCCACAGCACACACCCACGATGCCTCACGCGACGAGTCTGCCCGCGCCGGGCTTCCAGGCCCTCATTCTGTGCGGACCTGGTGCTTCCTTCAGTACCTTCACATCCACGCCCAAGGAGATACCAAAGGCCCTGCTGCCCATCGCGAACAGGCCTATGGTCTGGTATCCCCTGGAATGGTGTTACCGCATGGGAGTCACAGGTGCAAGATTACGCATGTCCTTCTATGTTTTTATGCTTAC